CATACATGCATGTAATTGGCTTATTTGTGTGTGTGTGTTTCCTTTTTCCAAGTGGCCTGAGTTTACATGTATCCTGGAGCACTGCTTTTGGTAATAAGATCTTTTAATTGCTCATTTGCTCCTATTTTCTATCTTTTAGATTCTCCCTCCTTCCAATGCTCAGAAGGCAACATCCAAAGACTGCTATTGCCTGCTGGAACAAGTTATTTATGAGAGCTGTGCAAGCAACAGCAGCTCCTGTCTGAATCATTGCTTTCCTATTATGTGTCAGTTGCCAAAAAGGATGATTAAGAAAAAAAAAAAAAAGAGAGAGAGTGAGCGAGAGTGAGTCTGTGCACAAATGAAGATTGGGAAAGTGGGAGTGGCATTACTGGTCAGGTGAGCTAGTTGATTCTTTCTGCTCTGTGTGGTGGCCCCACAAACACTTAGATCTTTCTCCTGTGCCAATTTCATTTTTGTCTCTTCATTTACCAGGACTATTGCCTAGGAAGGTAAGTGCAGATCAGAATTGTTTACTCCCTCTAACTAATATCCACTGCAAAACATCAGCATGGGGGATAGAAAGGCAATAAGAAAAAAATAGTATTTTAAATTGCTGCATATATTTCTTTTGTTTCATTCAGTAGAACTTTCCAAAGCCAGTTGCTTTTACTAAGTTACCTTCCTTTCCACTGAAAGGGTGTTTCATAGTGAAAAAGATCAGGCAGCTGTGTCTGTCTAGAGTAGTTATGATTAAAAACTTCATATTTTCTATTGTAGAAATTACTTTCTCTGGCTTGAAATAGGCTGACTGTGTATTACATGTTCAGTGCGCCCTTCATGGGCATTCTAGGATATAGACTATTAGATGTGTTGTAAGAGCCTGTGCTGCAGAAGGAATATTCCTGTCATTTTCTATATGGGTGTGTATGTTCTGCTGTGCTTTCAGTATACTATGACGAATCCTGGCTAGGTTGGGCCGTGAAGCTGTTAACCTAATAATCGTTTTGATTTTCTACATGCCTATTAGTCTCCTTAATTCATTCCTTATGGCCTAAGCATGGTAAATGTTTTGGTTCAATTTGTCTTCTTTCCCCAAAGTCGATTCTCTTTCATATTCCTGACCCAAGACCTTTTCTTTCTTCCAATAAAATCAATGTAAAACTCTTTGCTTCCACTGAAGTCAACAGAGCAGGCCTGTACTTTGCTCAGTTTAAAAAAATGACAGTTCAGAGGAGATCAAATCTTTCATGTATTGGGGCTTTTACACGTCACTGGATGATCTGCCAATAGAAGAATTTGTTTTATTTTCTTCCTTCTTATTTTAAAAAGACAACACAAAATCCTTCTGGTTCTTTTATACCTTTCCCCCTCAATATAAACTAGTTAAAGGTTGAGGATTGAACTGAGCCCATTTTCCTTTTAAAGGCTGATGTTCTACATGTCAAGCGTGGGCATGGAATGTTGACGCTATTTACTCTGAGAGGTGACCAAGTTTCAATCTTGGAGTGGACAGATTGGTCAGATTGACGGTCCCAGAAATTAAAGTCCAATCATTATTCCTAGGATTGTGTAGATAGCAGGCTGCCCAGTGCTGCACAGAGGGGTGCGCCATACTTCTTGTGGGTTACTGCTGCTTAGAATAGACGGTCCTTCTCCATGGGTAATTTAACTACAACTTAGACTGCCAAAAAGTATGCCTATTTGGTAGTCATTCTAGATTATAATCTTTTCAAAACTGGCCTGAGACAAAAATCATTTTCCAAAGAGCACTT